TGGGCACGTAGGTTGTTTCCATCTTTTTGCTATTGTGAACAGTGCTGCAATGAACATGTGTGTGCATATAACTATTCATGGGACATCTCTTATTTCTCTAGGATATATTCCAAGGAGTGGGATTGCTGGATCCTATGGTACTTCTATTTCTAGCTTTTTAAGGAAGTACCAAATCGATTTCCAGAGTGGTTGTACCACTTTACCTTCCCACCAACAGTGTATAAGTGTTCCAGTCTCTCCACAACCTCTCCAACATTTATTATTTTGTGTTTTTTGGATTAATGCTAGCCTTGGTGGGGTAAGACGGTATCTCTTTGTAGTTTTGATTTGCATTTCTCTAATGGTTACTGATCGTGAACATTTCCTCATGTATCTGGTAGCATCCTGAATGTCTTCTTTGGTGAAGTGTCTGTTTGTATTCTTCGCCCATTTTTTTAACTGGGTTATTTGTCTTTTCGTTATTGAAGTTTTGCAGTATCTTGTAGGTTTTAGAGATTAAATGCCAATCTGATTTGTCGTAGCCAAAATTTTTTTCCCATCCTATAGGTTGTCTTTTTACTCTTTTGGTGAAGTCTGTTGATGAGCGTAAGTGTTTGATTTTTAGGAGCTCCCAGTTATCTACTTTCTCTTCTGGTGTTTGTACATTGTTTGTAATGTTTTGTATTCTGTTTATGCCATGTATTAGGGCTCCTAGTGTTGTCCCTATTTTTTCTTCCATAATCTTTATCGTTTTAGATTTTGTATTTAGGTTTTTGATCCATTTTGAGTTAGTTTTTTTGCATGGTGTGATGTATAGGTCTTGTTTCATTTTTTTGCAGATGGATATCCAGTTATGCCAGCACCGTTTGGTAAAGAGACTGTCTTTTCCCCAATTAACGGACTTTGGGGCTTTGTCAAATATCAGCTGCTCATAGGTGGATGAATTTATGTCTGGATTCTCAATTCTGTTCCATTGGTCTCTCTGTCTGTTATTGTACCAGTACCTGGCTGTTTTGACTACTGTGGCGGTATAATAGGTTTTAAAATCAGGTAGTGTGAGGCCTCCTGCTTTGTTTTTCTTCTTCAGTAATGCTTTACTTATCCGGGGCCTCTTCCCTTTCCATATGAAGTTGGTGATTTTTTTCTCCATCTCATTAAAAAATGCCACTGGAATCTGGATCAGTATTGCATTGTATCTGTAGATCACTTTGGGTAGAAGAGACATTTTCACAATGTTGAATCTCCCTATCCATGAGCAAGATATGTTTTTCTACTTATGTAGGTCTCTTTTGGTTTCTTGCAGTAGTGTCTTGCAGTTTTCTTTGTATAGGTCTTTTATGGGAGACAGGTTTCTTGTTGGCCTGGAAATTATTTCTTAAAACTTCAAATTGGTCCCCCAGTTATTTTCATATGAAAGTAATGATTTCTGTCTTTGCTATAAAATAAGTCAGAAATTATAACAATACTGTACCTATATTTCTGCTTTATAGCACCTGGAGAGCACCAAAAGACGGGTGCAAAATAACCCAGCAAATAACCCAAACATCCTTCACTAAGAGAGAGGAAGATATACTGTGGTATATTCACACAGTGGAATTTTATACAGCAGTTCATACACACCAACTACAGCAACACACAATATGGGCGACTCTTAGTAATATAATGTTAAGTGAAAAAAGTCAGTCACAAAGAATTGCATACAGCATGATAGCCTTTTTATAAAGTTAAAAGCAACTAAAATTTAAAATATACTTTTAGGATACATCTAGATAAAGAAAAACTGCATAAAAAGGAAAGCCAGGGAAAGACGAATATATGCTGCAGGATAATGGTTACCTTGAGTGGGAGCAGGCCAGGGAATGAGGGGGCCATATGGTTAGATATAGGTTATTGCCAGTGTCCTAACTTTCGGCACAGTGGTTTTAAGCTTTTGGCTGTTGACCAAAAGGTCGGCAGTTTGAATCCACCAGCCACCCCTTGGAAATTCTATGGGGCAGTTCCACTCTCCTGCTGGATCACTATGAGTTGGAATCGACTCCAGGGCAACGGGTTTGGTTTTTTATTTTTTAACTTTTGTGAGGGGTAGGAGATTCATCACATTATTATAAATACCTAATTGAATCATTTAATTAAAGCAACTCAGCATGGGCAAATAAGAAGAGTGTGTCATGAACCAAGGATTAAGAACAATCAATTTCTGAGCGCCTGAGGTCTCAGAAAAAAACAAAACAAAAACCAGGAAGAAAAAAATCAGCTGGTGGCGCAGTAGTTAAGAGCTACTGCATGCTATGGTTGCTAACCAAAAAGGTTAGCAGTTCGAGTCTACCAGCCACTCTTTGGAAATCCCATGGGGCAGTTCTACTCTGTCCTATAGGGTCACTATAAGTAAGAGATGCCTCCCTCTAAATGGGCAGGTACTCTCTGGTTCATGGAGGTCCCAGCCACATTCTATTTTCCCCCAACACTGAGGCCGTATGTCAGCAGCTAGCGGGTTTAAACGGCCAACTTTTTGTTTAGCAGCTGAGTTCTTAACCACTGCACCACGAGCGCTCCTTTTCAGGACAGTAGTCAAGCATGGATTACACTCAAGTTAAATCTCCCAGGTTAGAGTTCCTGAGCAAGTACTTTGCATTTTTGCGTCCTCTTCCTTCTTAAATTCGGTGTCTAGGAGTTGAAAAGGTGCTAAAGACAAGGCACAAACAGAGCCAAACCAAGGGCCTGGGTTGGAAGGGACGAACTGATTTGGACATCTGCTGCCCAGACTCTCCTGCTCTGGACCAAAAACATTTGTTCACAATTCCTTTGGGTGAGCCACCGTTAATACCTCAGCCTTATAAGTTACTTGGAAACCCTGGTGACGTAGTGGTTAAGAGCTATGTCCGCTAACTAAAAGGCTGGCAGTTGGAATCCACCAGGCGCTCCTTGGAAACCCTACGTGGCAGTTCTACTCTATTCTATAGAGTCGCTATGAGTCGGAATCAACTCGATGGCAAAGGATTTGGTTTTTGGTAAGTTGCTTTACAAGAAAAAGTATGAAACAAAAACAACCCCCACAAAAACCAAAACCACTCCTCAGCAATGACTATTGGACAAGTGAGTGTAAAGTCCCGTTTTCCATTAACAATGTTTACACCCATTGATCAAGTGGCCTCTGTACCGTGAGGGGACCCTCAGGAATCAGGTGGCCCAGCCACTGTTTTTTGGCTCCATGCCAAGTGGTTGGATGTCACTTAACCCAATTTCCTTCCTGGCTTTGGAATGTCCCCTTTCTTGTCATTGACTCCTGGTTTCTCTTCTCATAGCTTTACCACACACATGATTGCTATGGAAAGCAACGGACTGACATCTGCATCAGCTATCAGGACCCAGAACTGAGGAACTGGTCACGAGAATGTTTAGGTGCTGCATCCCGCAGCTTAAAGTCTTCAAGGTGAGTTTGCTTCAGTGTAAATTGTCTACTTCTAAGGCCATAAGCAAAGGCAACCTGGTGGAGCAATGGTTAAGTGCTCCGCTGCTAAACAAAGTGTTAGCAATTCAAACCCTTCAGCTGCTCCAAGGGAGAAAAAAAGACCTGGCAATCTGTTCCTGTAAAGATTACAGCCTAGGAAACCCTACGGGGCAGTTCTACTCTGCCATAAAGGGTTGCTGTGAGTCGTAATGGAGTCCAAGGCACACAACAAGGCCATGGGTAAAGGCTGGTCAGCTAGAGACAAAGTCCTCGCCCTCCAGGAGCTGACAAAAAGAAGTGGCAAATTCAAAAATAACTATAATTCAGGGCAGAAAATATGAAGTGTCACATGAAAAGCACAGGGAAAAGATGTTATTAGGTTCAAATGATGAAGAGATTTGAGAAGATCATTAGAAAAGGCTTTCCAGGAGAATTGTTACTTGAGACGGACTTCAGTATCAGGGAGAATTCCAACAGTTGGGGCAGGAAGGTAGAATAAAGGGTGTTTCAAGAGAAGGAAATAGCCTGAGCAAAGGTGTGGAATCTGGAAACATGGGGCATATTTAAGAACAAAAAGTTTGTTTAAGGTATTACAGGGGGTTACTGGTGTTACAGGAACCCCTGGGTGGTGCAAATGGGTAACACGCTCAGTGCTAACTAAAAGGTTGGAGGTTTGAATGCATCCAGAGGTGCCTCACAAGAAAGCCCTGGTGATCTACTTCTGAAAAATCAGCCATTGAAAACCCTATAATGCACATTTCTCCTCTGACAGACATACACACATGGGATTGCTATTTGTTGGAGTTGACGGCAAGGCTTAATAATGGTGTTACAATGAACTGAGTTTTGTGTGGTTAGATACTGCACCTTCGAGTAGAGCTTAGGGATTCTGGGACTTGTCCACACTCCAGCTAGCAAACCAAAAGGAGTTTGTGGAACCCTTAAAAACTGCACCTCCATCTTTCCCCCTCCACAACTAGCAGGTGAACCCCCATGGCTGCTCAAAATCTGGAATTTCCAGGCAAAGTGAAGGGCGGAAGCAGCTCTCTCTGGTCATTTCAGTGGGGCGGCACTCTGCTTATGAAAGCAAATGCAAGACCTGTCCAACCAGGAGGCAGAGAAGATGTTCCTGGGGCTTTAGTTTCCTTTACAAACCAGTTTCCTTTTTTTGGCCCAGGATCCTGTTAGCCTGGGCTGTGGAAACTCCTCCTTGTCATACAAGTTGATGGGCAGGAAAGCAACCTGCCCCACAGGTCAGTGACAGGCAGGGTGGTGACACTCTGCTCTGTGGATAATCGTCCACCTAAACTTGGGCTGGAGCTCATGGAAATCCAGCGTGACAAATAACTTCCCCTCATGTTCCAGCCACCCTGAGTATATGTATTTTCCATATGTTGCTGTAATTCTCACAACCCTACAAGGAAGGTGATACTATGAGGTCACAAACGAGGAAGTTAAGGTTCAAGGAGGTGAGGCAATGCACCCAGAGTCACCCAGTTGGTAGGTAACGGAGACAGGACCTTCTTAGTTAAAGACTCTTCCCACCCAACAAGGTTGCCTCACACAAACACACTTCTTCCTCCTCGGCTCTGATATGTTCCTCCGGCAGATGTCCTGGTGGGCAGAGCGTGAAGTCTTGCCGATCATTCACATCTGAGATGATGGCTGTGCCGCCCAGATAAGTTCTTAGGTTTCCCTTCAACAGGTTTCCACACACTTCTAACTGCAGAGGAGCGGCAAGAGGATGGGGGACTCCACTGAGCAGCCACATGGTGGTTTCTGCAGGCAGCATCCTAATCCCTTGGCAAACTTGGCCAAGAGGCATTTTCTAGACTCTCGTGTGGTGCTAAAATTAAAACTTCTCTTGCTGGTGAAGTCTTGTCTAAGAGGTGTAAGACAGGAAAGAAGCACAGACAGGTCAGTATCTGAGCTGCCACTCAGTCCAGGCAGCCTGCTCACTGCATAGCGTGAAGACCTAAGGCAGTGTGGTGCAGGGAAAAAAGGCAATAAATTTAAAGGTAAATCGTCTGGGTTTAAGACCTGGCTAAGTGCTGGACTACTAACAGAAAGATTGGCAGTTTGAACCCACACAGAGTTGCCTTGGAAGAAAGGTATGGTGATCTGCTTCCAAAAGATCACAGCCCTGAAAATCCTACGGAACACAGTTCTGCTCTGACACACCCAGAGTCACCATGAGTTGGAATCAGCTCAACAGCAACTAACAACAATCTACCACTTCTGAATTTTATTAATTGGCAGTTACTTCGCAGTCGGAAAAAATACAACTGGTAATGCCTAGGTCACAAAACTGTTATGAAGATGAAATGGGATAACAGCTGTGAAAGTGTTGTTCAAACACGTTATTATTATGAGAGAAATTAGACAGGAGGCTGATGGTTGATAAGCCCTCAGTGACAATTAGACTTGCCTAGCTCTGCCTATCATTCAGATCTCAGCTGCCCTGACCACACAGGCTGAAGGAGCTGCCCAGTCATCCTCTAGCACATTGTCCTATTTTAAATCTCTATGAGCTCTTAGCTCTATCTGACATTTTTCTTAGTTTTTTTTTTTTTAATGGTCTGCTACTTGGATGTAAGTTTTACAAGAGCAGAGCCTTAATCTGTCTTGTTCATTGTGGAATCCCTGCCACTTGGAAATGAGTCTGGCACATAGTAAGTCCCAAATATTTTTGGAGTGAATAAATGGCTCAGATTATATTATAGGGATTCCAACCTAAGGAAGAAGATTAGAATATTACCATGCTGGTAAACAGAGAGATCAAAAATGACAATCATAGACTGTTACCAAAAAAAACAAACCCATTGCCATCAAGTCGATTCCGACTCACAGCGACCCTATTGTGCAGAGCAGAACTGCCCCGCAGAGTTTCCAAGGAGCGCCTGGTGGATTCGAACTGCCGACCCTTTGGTTAGCAGCCATAGCTCTTCACCACAATGCCACCAGGATTTCCCATAGACTGTTAGTACCTGACAAATGCTTAGCAAACTCATCATTTTCCAGGGAAGGTCTTAATAGAATTCTCAAAGAAAGACCCATAGAGAAAAAGAGCACAGGAAAAACAATGCTCTTCTTTCAAAGTCGTGCTTCCACTCTTTGACTCGTGGAGAATTTATCTTGACAATAAATGTTAGCCCCAAGAATTCTTATTTGTCTTTATCCCTAGGTAATATCACTTGCCACCTACAATAGAATTTTAGAAAATTAAAGAGAGAAAAACCTCTATCAGGTACTCAGAGAGTGGGAAGGATCAGAGACGATTTGATCCTGTGTTCCTTCCATAACACCTGTGTCAAATGCCTTCCTGACTCCCACATCTCCAATGAAGCTCTAATTCCCAGGGCAGACTGTTCTATTTTCAGACAACACTACTAATAATTATACCATGTGCCAGACATTGGGATGAGTGCCCTCTGCAGAACTCAGAAGGTGGGCGTCTGAGTTCCCTCCCCCCACCATGCACCCGCACCAGGCAGACACGGACATGCACACATCCACCACACTCACACATGCACACACACACATACTTCCCTTTCAGCCAGAATGACTCCACTTCTATTTGTTTTACAGGTTGGTCTTCCATCAAAACTTTGTGTCTTCAACATGATGAACATAACTCATGTCACAAAATTGTACATGTAAAATGTTGAAATGGCAGTTGTTTTCCTATATGCATACTTACCTCAATTAAAAAAATTGTTTAAACAAGAGGCTCTTTAGATAAAATCATTTTGAAAACCACTGTTATAAAGCTCTCTTGTTGAGATGGCTTGAAGTCTTTTCTTTATAAAGGAAGTGGGTCGCAAACATGCTATAAAACAATGGTTCTCACCCTTTATTAGCATGAGGAACCCTTTCTTAACATTACTGATGAGAGATAAATTGTTAAAAACCACTTTGAAAAGCAGTTTGGTATTATATATTGAGGTTGAAGCTATGCGTACTGTGTGACCCAGCAATATCACTCATCCGAATGTTCTCTACAGAAGCGTGCACATTTGCACTAGGATATATGAACAAGAAAAACTTAATGCTGGAAAACAACCCAAAAAAATCCATCAACAATGAAACTGATTTAAAAAAAAAAAAAAAAACTATACTCTTACAGTGATACATTCTGCAACAATGAGAATAAATGAACTGCAATGTTATGTATCTGCTGCAAAAGACCTCTTTAAAGTGTTCAAAAGCAATGATGTCACTTTGAGGACGAAGGTGTGCCTGACCCAAGGCATGGTATTTTCAATCACCTCATATGCATGGGAAAGCTGGACAATGAATAGAGGAAGACTGAAGAAGAATTGATGCCTTTGAATTATGGTGTTGGCAAAGAGTATTGAATATACCATGGCCTGCCAAAAGAACGAACAAATCTGTCTTGGAAGAAGTACAGACAGTATGCTCCTGAGAAGCAAGGTTGGCAAGACTTCGTCTCACATTATTTTGGACATGTTATCAGGAGGGAGCAGTCCCTGGAGAAGGACATCATGCTTGGTAAAGGAGAGGGTCAGCAAAAAGAAGACCCTCCACAGGATGGATTGACAGAGTAGCTACAACAATGGGCTCAAAAATGACAAAGACGGTGAGGATGGCGCAGGACTGGACGGTGTTTCTTTTTGTTGTACTTGGGGTCGCTGTGGGTTGGAACTGACTTGATGGCACCTAACAACAACAGTAACACAATGGTATGTAATGACATGAATACTTCTCACAAATATAATAAGCAGAAGAAGCAAAACACAAAAGGACATCAGCAGTGTGATTTCAATCACATAAACTTCAAAAATACTGTTACGGAGTACATACATTAAAAAGTGATTTTTTAAAAAGGCAAACAAATGATAATTACAATAGTCAGGTGAGAGGTTACCTCAGGGTTGGGTCAAGGAGGGCAAGAGGGGCAGGTTGTAGTTAGAGAAGAACAAAGGAACTTCTGGAACGCTAGCGGTGTTCTAGCTTCTGACCTAGGCAATGATCATATGGGCTTTTGTATTATTTATTAAACTGGTGGTATATTTTTTGCAAGGAGCCCTGGTGGCAGAATGATTAAGCGCTCAGCTGCTAACTGAAAGGTCGAACCCAGCCAGTGGCTCCTGGCAATCTGCTCACGTAAACATTTACAGCCTAGAAAACTCTATGAAGCAGTTCTACTCTGTCACATAGGATGGCTATGAGTCAGAATTGACTCAATGGAATACAACGACAACATATTTTTTTGCACATGTATGTGATATATTTCAAAAAATACCATATACTCTCACATAATTAAGGTCTACTTTTTTCCCTGGAGATTATGTCACTGTTTGCTGGGCATATGAATCCTTGGACCCATAGCAATAACTCTGAGAAATTATCCGGGGCCAGTGGCCCACAGGTTGCAATCATTAGTAGAGAAGAAGAGCAAAGCATTGGCTTGGTGATGGGGAAGCCTGGGTTCTAGTCTGAGCTCTGGTGCTATTGGACAATCCCTGTCCCTTCTAGGCCTGGGTTTCTTTGTCTCCAACAAAGTTGGTTGAATTAAGTGATCTCTTGAGTCCCTCTGAATTTTGAAAACTGTAGTTCTTGTAGCAAAAGGAATCTCTTAAATATGACAACGTAACAGCTCCCATCCATGAAGATAACTGCCTCCCTTTGAAGTTGCTCACGTGGCCCTCACTCAAGCTTCAACACTCCTTCAAAGAAGTATAAAGGGTAGTTTTTCTTGCATTGTTCTTGCAAATAGGTGCCAACAGGCTGTGCAGACTTCCTGCTTGAGAACTATCAGCAAGCCCTCTGGGAGAGGGAGCACATCGCAAAGCTGGATGCCCTGTGCCTGTCCTCTGGAATGGAAACTCACATGCCACTATGTGACTCCCCGGCCACTGGGCATCAGAATTATCCAATGTGGCAAGACTACTTGATACATTTCTCTAACTGGCATTCGGACTTGAGCACAGCCTTGGGGAAGGTTTCTTGCAGTTCAGTAAGATGGCACCATCAAGCCATGATGCATGACTACAGTTTCGACCGGGAGAAATGGGGCCCCCTAGCTATGAGTCCTTGTGATGTAGCAGTGAAGAGCTACGTCTGCTAAACAAAAAGTTGGTAGTTCGAATTCACCAGATGCTCCTTGGAAACTCTATGGGGCAGTCCTACTCTGTCCTGCAGAGCCAGAATCGACTCGACGGCAACAGGTTTTTTTAATGTGTCACTATGAGCCAGAATCAACTCAATGGCAACAGGTTTGGTTTTTTAATTTGCCGCGGTTTCAAGAAAACCGACAGCGTGGCAGATTGTAAAGTTAGGGTAGCTGATCATGAAATGAGTGATGTGGTTAGAATAGAAAATCTGGGGGGAGGGTAGTGGAGCACAAGGGAAATCAGAATTTTACCTATTTCAAATATCCTGGGATGCCACACCCAGCTCATACAGGGTAACCCAGGACATTATATGCTGGACCAGATAGTGATGGCATCATCTCCATTTTTTAAATAACCCTTCTGTTATTACAGAGGCAATCCATGCACATTGTAAAGATCAGAGAATAAGAATATAAATAAAAATTACATTCCCACCACTCAGTGATCACAACTGTTCACCTCTTAGTAGTCATATGCTTTGTCTTCTAACAAAATGAAACCATACCGTAAGTGCTATTTTGCAATCTGCTTTTTCATTCATTGACTTATATTTTTCCAGGGCAGTGAGTTTTTAACTGATCTACTATCCAAACCATATTCAAATAATCACCGATGAACTCATTAATGTTCATTA